AGAAAAATAGATAAAGATAGAAAGAAGAGTGATATAGAGTAGAAAAACACGAGTATCTATAAGAACAAAACCGGCATTATATAGAAACAACACTTTTTAAAAATAAAAAATAATAAAAACGTGATGGCAATGTGTTTCTTTCCTTGTGTATATTGTTTTTTGAGGAATCCTTTTATTATGTGATTGATTATAAAAAAGGGTGTGAAAACTGAAATATTAAACTGCTAAAATAGGAATTTGCTCTTTCTATTAAGGAATTGTGTGTTTACCTTAATTAAAAAGTTAAAAATTTAAATAACAAATAAGGGCATTGGGTCTAGTGGTATGATTCTTGCTTTGAGTGTGAGAGGTCCCGAGTTCAATTCTCGAAATCCCCCAATTTGTAGCAACTAATATTTTCGGGCGGTTTTGGGCAAATTGGGCAACTCGGGCTTCGGGCAAAATTTGGGTTCTCGGGCTTATTTTCGGGTCGGGCATGGTCGGAAAATTCAAAAAAATTCCGGCGGACGGCGTGGTCGGAAAATTCAAAAAAATTCCGGCGGACGGCAGTATAAGGCGGTTAAACGGCGGCGGGCAAGAGAGTCAGTGTCAAATTCGGGCTGCCCGAGCCCGAACCCGAAAATCTAGCTTGGGCGGGCGGGAGATGGGCTTGCCCGCCCGAGCCCGAAAAAATTCGGGCAAATTGGGCAACTCGGGCCCGAAAAAATGCTACAACAACTAATATTTTCGGGCGGTTTTAGGCAAATTGGGCAACTCGGGCTTCGGGCAAAATTTGGGTTTTCGGGCTTATTTTCGGGTCGGGCATGGTCGGAAAATTTAAAAAAATTCCGGCGGACGGTAGTATAAGGCGGTTAGACGGCGGCGGGCAAGAGAGTCAGTGTCAAATTCGGGCTGCCCGAGCCCGAACCCGAAAATCTAGCTTGGGCGGGCGGGAGATGGGCTTGCCCGCCCGAGCCCGAAAAAATTTGGGCTTCGGGCAGCCCGCCGACCCGAACTTCCAACACTGTATCCAAGTCACTAACGAATTTTGGGGCCTTTTTTTCCAT